TTGCAGCTCAAATTTACCGCGACAGATTTCGCCAACAGGTACAACCAGACAGAAGGACATTTGTGCAAGTGTACCAAAGACTTCCAGATATAGGAAGTTTTCAGCTTACTGATATTCGCACTCGTGAAAGACAGGTTACTGTAGAGCAGGAGGAACAAATTTTAAATATCGTGGAAATCAATGCAGATATCAGCACTCGGGAATTAATCCGCCACGTAGGACTATCGCATACCATAGTCCATAGAATCCCTACCATGTACGAGTGCAGGCCTTGTTACCAGAAGACTATCCTCGCAGACTGACATTCTGTCAGTGGTTTTTGCACAAAAATATTGAAAATCCGTTTTTTTTTAAAACATTTTAGCGACGGACGAATGCACATTTATGCGAGACGGGATATTAAATTTCCATAATACTCACACGTGTGCCCAAGAAAATCCTCATGCCATTCGTGAAGGTCATTTCCAACAACATTTTTGGCCCTTTCGAGTTACCCCCAAAGTTGTCAGGAGAAGGGTTCCTTAGCTTTCCAGCCAATAACCTACCAGAACTTTTGGAACAGACCTTAGACAACATGCCATTACAACGGAGACAGAATTTGTGGTTTCTTCATGACGGGGTACCACCACACATTTTTAGAGGCGTCATTCAGTATTTGAATGAACATTATCCAAATCGCTGGATCGGTCGAAATGCTCCTGATCCTCGAAACTGGCCAGCAAGATCTCCTGACCTCAATTCGATGGATTTCTGGTATTGGGGAGAACTTAAAGGGATGGTTTATGGGGCTGGTCCAATAACAACTGAAGTACAACTTCGCGAAAAAGATTTTAATGCGTCTGGCATTGCGGCGTTGTCAGATTTTATTTTACTTTAAAGTCGCTTTTCTCTAAAAAAATGCCGTTTTGACTCCCATGTTATATGAAACTTTTTGCTTTTAACCCCCTCTATCACCCATTTAAATAATGACTATCATAACGTTTACACCCTGTATAGTTTTGTTTTATTCTAACATGTAATGTTTCCAATCTAGAAAGATCTGTGAATTGTTGTGTCCTTTTTTACAATTGTAACTGACCCTTCTTTGTACGTCTATGGAAATCTGTACAAAATAAATCTCCAGACAGTCTTTTGAAAAGTTTGCTATTAAAATATGTTTTCGTTTTTTCGTCGTTCTACGTCGGAAGCTCATTTTAACTTCATGAGTTCCATAATGGCGTCCTTGAGGAGACAAATTACCGACCTTAAGTTCTGTTCAGGCAAACGGTGAATCGCAATTCGGCCATTTTTACGAGAGCAAAATCTTTATTGCAGCAAACCATCCTTTCATATTACTCATAGAGCCGGCGGGTAATGGGAAATTCAGATTGTTATTTTCCCAGAGGTATACCTCATCGCAACGGGTAGTTATTCGCACAAGTGCCTAGTTACTTCGGACTGGTGAAGTGGTAGTGATACAGATATAAGTGAATGGAAACTTTCATAATATGAGAATATTTTTCCCTATACAACCGAATCGCAGCGTCGTACGACCTGCCACAAAGGCTTCGCAACCATGAGGACAGAAGGCCATAAAAGAATTTGTATAGACTGATGGATATATATTCTAGAAGGTAGGTGAAAAGGTTCTGCATCTAAAAATACAAAAAAATGGCGTCAAGTAGGTTGACTCTGCACTATCTACGCAACGCGGTCATCAGTTCATAAAGGATTAAGTTGAGCGCCGCTGCAGCGACCTATAGTTCATTCCGTGTATATGTTTTGTACGCTACAGTACTGATAGGTTAATCAGCCGGACTTAGATAGCAGGAGTACGCGAATAGAAAAACAAGTTTTAAAGACAAACGTACAGGAAATCTATAATGTGCTATATGGCTAATACGTGCATATAATTTCAAATTTTCATATACTTTCCCTTACCCCCTACAGCCCCCAATGAACGAATTTCAAACCCATAGAAAAATGTTGAGCAATTTTTATTTTTTTCATGTTTTTGCCGATAGCTCCGCTGCCAGTGGACCTATTTTCAATAATTCAGGGATTGTGGCGACTCACTTTTTCTTACTTCTATCCATCCATCTCTCACTTTTACTAACTTTTCATTGAAAACATTATCTTTTCGCAATATTTTCGCTCTTTTCGAAGGAGCTCTCCTGTTATTGGATGAAAATTATAAGGAAATAACAAGGTACGGTGAAACCTGAACACAAAATAAAAATTTTGTTGATGTAATAATAATAAATAAGCAGAGGTAAATCATAGCAGATCAAAATAATAATAATAAATGTCTTTATTAATACACATACATCAGTGTGGCGAAGTTTAGCCAAATGGCTACTCTTACACTTAACCTCACTGTGTGCGAAAGAGTAACACAGTTAAACTCGATACATAAGCAAACAATAGTAATAATAAGAAGAAAAAGAAATGTAAGTAAATGAATTGAATAGATAACGTGTTGACAATACGCACACACGAGCCAACATAATATGAAAAAAATATGACAAATTTTTTTAACAAATGCACATTAATATTCCATCAGCTGTTTCTTAACGAGTCTCCTGAAAGGTATATTGTTTTACTGCGAAATATTTTAGGTTGTCTGAGATTTCTCTGATTAATGTTACCTCTTGGTACTAGCTTTTCTAAAATGTACGGTGGCTTTTTTGTGCGAACTACTTTATGGACAAACACCTTCATAGCATAAACAAACTGTGATTCCATCTTTAACCAATTTAAAACTTTAATCTTCGAAGAGACATGACTATATTTACGAAGTCCAAACACATACCTGCAGCAGCCATTTTGAATTTTTTGTATCCTATACCGATCCGACGAATCCAAATAGGAATAGAATAAAATCAGAGAATGTTGCAAAGATGACAGGATCAAGCTTTCAACTAATTTTTTCCTAGTTTTAAAGTTTGAAATGTACCGGTTGGAGTATAAAAGTTTTAATTTGGCATAGGTTTTTTGAGACAGGTAACCGATGTGTCTATCAAACTTCAAGTTGGAGTCCAAGATAACACCCAAGTTTTTAAAATGTTTTACCATGGGGATGCGCTCGTTATTTATAATGAGTACAATTGCGTCCTTTATGTTATTATACATCTGTTTCGGAGAAAAAAGCGTACTTGAACTCTTTTCAGGGTTGATCCTGAGACAGTGCTTTTTACAAAAATCCGTAATATTGATTAGGTCAGTATTAATTTAAAATGACACTTCATTTAACTGAGCATATTTGAAGTGAAATGATAATTGTGTGTCATCAGCATACGTTTGTATAGAACAAAATTCCACACATGAGTCTATAGTGTAACTTAAATATAGCAGAGGTCCCAGAACTGACCCCTGCGGAACGCCAGACGAAACCACTGTACTAGAAGAGACGCCCCTAACCGTCTTAACCACCTGTTTTCTTTCAGCCAAGTAGCTTTGGAAAAATCTTAGCAGAATATCAGATAGCACAATATACTTCAGCTTGATCAACATGATTTTGTGATTGACTGTATCAAAGGCTTTTGAGAAATCAATCATCACTAATATGGTACGAGTATTAATATGTATGTCTAAGTTACCTACGATGTTGTCAGTTAGATGGAGCAACGCTGAAGCAGTGCTATGTCCCGCACGATATCCTGATTGATGAGGAGGAAACAAGTTATTTTGCTCTAAATATTCCACTAGTTGAATGTACATTGCTTTCTCTAATACCTTCGAACAAAAGCACAGCAAACTAACAGGCCGCAAATGATTATGAGTGGTTGGATTTTTGACTTTGGCTAAAGGGATGATAATAGCTTCCTTCCAAGCCTCAGCAAAAGTCCCGGTCTCAAGGCATATACTGACAATATGTGTTAAATACAATAAAATTGCAGGTGAGCAGTAACCTACCATGTTCAAGTTAATTTCATCACTCCCGGTAGCAGGTGACTTGATAGAGGTAGATGGAGTTACATCTTGCCTATTAAAGCTGTTCTCATAAAACTCTACTGTACTGTCAATCAAACAGGAATTGATATTAAGATTTTGGTAATTTAACATAAAGTGGTTATTGACTTCGTTAGGGTTTAATACAGAGTTCCCCAAACTTTTTTGTGTCGTAGACCTCTTGCCATGTTTTTCCGTGTTGGGTAGACCCCCTACTTACCTGATATTGATTTCCTGTAAATTTCTAACTGTAGTGAAGTTTAGTGTTAAAAACTTAGAGTAAAAACACATGTTAGTTTATACATTTATTAATTGAATTTAAATTAAAACTAAACTACTCAAAATAAAATTTTGTATCTGTTATGTAAAATATACGTAACATTAAATAAACAGGTGTCTGACCAATAAATGCCCGCATTGGGAATGAGTACCCGCATTGAAAAAAAAAATAAGAGGGATAAAATAAAAAAAAAGTGCTAAAAATAATAAAAAAAAGTTTTTTACTTAAAATAGTACAATTAGTGAGTTCGTTTATCAATTATAACATAAACGTATGTTCTACAATAATTTCACTGTTAGTTTGATTAAATTCCGCTTCTAATTAACGAATTTTAGTGTGTACCTATCCTTGAATTTTCAGAATAATTTAAAAAAAATATATTTTCTTTAAAAAAATCAATGCGGGCACTTATTCCCAATGCGGGCATTTATTGGTCAGACACCAATAAACATAAAATAAACTATAAATAAAATAACATAAGCAATAAGTCAATATTCTTAGTGAGAAGGATGAACCTGATTGTTTAATAATAAATTATCAACATTTGGCGTCAATTTTGTAAGGGTTAATCTTAAATCCCCTCGGCTAATGATGTCCAGTCTGTTTCTTTTTTTCGTTAGGAGATTGGTAACAGCGCTGAACCCCCTTTCCACTAGGTATGACGATGGAAAGGAAATTAAAAATTTCCTCGCTATATTCCATAATACGGGATAAGTAACGGGTATGTTGATTTGCAGCCAGAATTGCTGATATCCGTTTTTAAACTGAACCTTAAGTTCTTCGTTTGTACTTAGTTCAGTCAGTTCCTCTTGTATTATGACATTCGTTTCTTCTATGTCACCATATGGATTAATTATCCACGGTGGTATTACCATAGTCAAAATATCCTCAAACCTAGATTCAAAATCTGAATAGAGGGCATTTAAATGTTGAACGTAAGTTGAAACGTCGTCTTCCTGGCAGCTTGTCTGTGACAAATTGGGGAACTGAGAAAATTCGCCTTGTCCAATATTTTGCTTCATTAGTTTAACTCTGGCAAGAAACGCTGATAAGATGGACTTTGTTTTAATCAAATTTAAACTGTCGCCTTGTAATTGCAAATTAACCATATTAAATTTTGTAAACAAATCTGTTAAATAGGCGATGTCTGTATTCCTTTTCATTAAATTTTCTTTTAAAATTTTATCTTTAGTATCCAGAAATTCTAAAATAGCCTCAAAAAGTGCAAACAATCTTGTCAAACATAAGCCTTTCGACAGCCAGCGTACTTCAGTGTGAAGGAGTAATTGATGAAAGTGTTCGTCATTTTCTTCACACAACTGCGCAAATAAACGTGTATTCAACGCGTTGCTTCGGATTCGGTTTACTGCATCAATGACTAAATGAACTAAATGAACTGATTCATGCAATCTAACACTCAAATTTTTAGCAACTAAATGTTGTCGATGGATGACGCAATGTATTGCTAACACCCCTGACATATTTTGTTTTAAATAGCTTATAAATCCACGATAACGTCCAACCATGGCAGGTGCTCCATCTGTAGCTACTGATATTATATTTGATAAAGGAATTGCTTTTTCAATGAAGTAATCCTTCAAAACATGAACTATTGATTCACCTTTACTGTCGGTTATCAAAGTTCTTGCGAAGAGCAGTTCTTCGTAGATTTCTTGATTCATAATAAAATGAACATATGCCAATAATAATGCTGCATTATCAGGTAAAGTTGACTCGTCCAGTTGTATAGAGAAATGGGTCGTTTGCAAATAATTACATAAGAAGCTTTCAATATCAGAACTCATTTCATCAATACGTCTTTCAACAGTATTGTTGCTTAAGGGTATTCTTTTAATGATATCAGATGCAGGTTTGTGTAAAACAGTTTTTAAAACCTCTTCAACGGCTGGCAAAATTAACTTCTCTCCAATAGTATGAGGTTTTCCGGATTTTGCTATAAGTAACGAGATATTGTACGACGCCCGAAAACCGTCATCATTTCTTTGTGACGTCGAAGCGAACATTCTGTCCAGTGTAGGTCTCTTCTGAAATTTATCTTTGAGTGTTTGAAAGTATTTCAAATCTTTCTCTGTTTTATCAGGGTGGCATCTTCTTAGATGATCTTGCAGTTTAGATGGTTTCATAGCGTCATTGCCCAAAACTTTGTGGCATAAAAGGCGATTGTTTGTCCGGCAATGATGGAATGAAGCCAAATTTCAAATAATCAACACTGTACTGTCTACATTTCTTTTTAGATTCGGACATGGCATCAGTCATCGGTGGGCAAAATTAAATTATTTAAATAAGACAGAAAATCCAGCAGCTGTATATTAAAAATATTTTTTGATTTTTCCGAAAACATTCCATAATTCGAACATCTTCTTGCAACAATTAGCTCGAATTACGGAGATTGCACTGTAATTATATTACCGATTGCTAAAACTTTCAAAAAGAAACTATTGAGGAGTACTCGTGTAATTTTGCATGATTGAATATTTAACTACTAATAACTAAAGTCATGATTGGCGTAATTTATCTATCTTTGGTAACTACGAATACAAAACTAAAATTTAATAAAAAATAATGTACTTACTTTTCTCCAGCACTCTCAAACAAAATAACACTGACTCACTATAATTTGTGTGATATACTATCTGTTTATATTTTTTAAAATATTTTCTTAGCACTTTCCTTTTCAAGATTCAGGAAACGAATAAACGTATTTGTCCCACATTCGTATTTATAGAGTGACGAATTGAACAAGTCAGTGCAAGGTAGCGAAGCTCTGAGACTGCGACTCTTAGGTTTTTACAAGTTCAAAATGTATTGCGACCACAAAGCGAATACCAACATCCTACAACTTACACAATTTTATAAACATATATGATACATTTTTTACTTCATAGGTACTTTTATAAATAATGTATATGTTTTGATATTATAAGATAGTATGATGTAAGTAAATAGGTACTATCAGTGTATGTGTTGAGATCCACTATCATGGACCCCCATATTCATTTCATGGACCCCCAAATTTTTTTTCGCTGACGTATACCCCTTGCAGGTTGTCATAGACCCCTAGGGGTCGATATAGACCACTTTGGGAATCAATGGTCTAATAGATCATAGGGTATTTCAGTGTGTTTCTGGGGACAAATATTCATTACTTTCAGCTGAGCTCAAGCTTTTCTAGAATTGAGACTATCAAAGCGAGATAAATATGCTTTTTTCTCACGCCGGATTGAAGCAAGTGAATAATTTCTTAACTATTTATACGCTGTCCAATTTTCATCTGATGGATTGTAACGAAATTTAACTAAAGCCTCATCTCTCTCCTTAAGAATGACCTCAAGTGCAAAAGTTAACGATGTCCGAATAGGAGCATGAAAGTTAAAAAGCTCAATACGCACCCCATAAAGGATTAGAATTTTGGAGTTAACATCAGTAATATACAGCATTTCTTCTAAGCCAGCTGCAGCCAAATCCTGCTTGAATTTGATTACATCAATGTTCCAAAATCCCTATAGGTTATGAATTTTTCCTCCGATGAAACGATTTTTATATTTAACTCGCAAAATACTAGTTTGTGGTCAGATATCAGATCTGCATTTATGGTACCAGAGTTGAGAACACTTTCAATATTATTTAAAAGTATGACATCAATTAAAGTAAAACTAAAACGAGAAATACGAGTAAGCTCATTGATGACCTGCCTGAAACCTTAAAAATTAAGACAACTGCTGAGTACATTAGTGGTATCGAACATGTCAATGCTTATGTCTCCAAGAAGAATAATGTCATGATATTGAGGCATAAAGAAAGAAACAAGATTGTCTATGTTGTTTATACAATCATTGATAGAACAGTGAGGAGGTCTCTCCAAAATGGTGTCCGTTATTTTGTAGGCAAAGCCTGACTCTTCTTTGTATATTGTTCACTGTTCGATTTATTTCTCTTCGAGGTCTCGTCTGGTTTACGAAACAATTGAAATCTGATAATTTCAAGGCCTACCTTGAAACTTCAGTTTTTCGGGAATAACTAAGGTTTGGTAATGTTATTGTGTGACATATCATACATTTTTGAAATTATAAGAAAAAAATAAAGCTGATGCTGCAGAACAAAAGACGAAACCTTATAATGAAATGCCAATTATGCTATCTTACAGAGGAGATAAAGTGGCAATCCTGACATGCAATTTATTTTGGAGCCTCATCTCAAATGATGTCGGGAAAAAATAAAAGTCATTTTGGGATAAATCTTGAATGCTAAACAAATGATTATCCGATAATTTCAAGACCTACTTAGGAAATTCTGCTTTTTTGAAATAACTAGGGTTTGGCAATGTCAATGTATGACGGATTATACATTTTTGGATTCAGAATTCAATACTCTATTCATCTGCGCAAAAATCCAATATGGCGTTCATAAGAAAAAATAAAGTTGATGCTGGAGGATAAGAGACGAAACGTCATAATGTAATTCTAATTGAGCCATCATATAGAAGAAAAAAAGTGGCAATGTAAATGCGCATTTTATTTTGAAATCCCATCACAAATAAAGTCCGGATAAAATTAAAACTATTTTGGGAAAATTCTGTTTTTTCCGTCTCTATCCGGAAGTACTTTCAATTTGGAAACTTTTCTTTTCTATTCGTCATTGTCTGTCAGAGCGGTCCGTAGGACCTTTGCTCTTGGTTGAAGTCTTGTAAGTCAGAAGGTCTGTCAGGTCTGGTAGCCCAGATACCAAACAAAGTCAGGGAGAAAGAAGGGAAGAAGAAAGGAAGGAAGGAAGGAGGGAGAGCAAAGACAAAAGAAGTGCATCAATTTGAGGGGTGCCTTGACATTGCTAGTTAGTATTCGCCAATTTTAAATTGATCCTAAAATTAATTTTGGAATTGGTTCTTGAGGAAAAATTATAATTTTGGTTGGACCTAAATTCACACGATTTAATTTTGTTCACAGTGCGAGTCGCGGCCTTGTGTGCTTGCGAACGTGCTCGACTATGTAGTCTACTGACTCGCGCAACAAATGGTTGTTATGCGATTTCGCTTGACTATAACGTAGCTGCGTTTGTTGTTTGAATTTCGAAACTTTCTAAGCGGCATTTTGTTGATTACCTAAATATGCAATTTTGCCCCCATGTAAGCAAACTTCGTATGTCTTACAGTTTCCGAGATCCCAATGGTGAGGGTCGAATTTGAAACACGCTGTATGTTTGTTAATCATATCAAAACTTTGATCAAAACAAACGGATTTTCTTGCTAAACCCCGTATCCAGTGTATCATGACTTTGGATTAGCTCCGAGTTTTTTTTTCATTGTTTCTATTGCTGCAACAGAGAAAGTAGATCTTGGCAAATGTATCACATTCAAGCAATGTGGCCAAGGTTATTCCGCATCCTGCGTTTGAACGTTTATTAAGAGGAAGAATTTCGTAGTTTCACGAGTAGCGTTACACACATCAGATAACCAAATAATTACTAATTAGTGAAACCCAGAAACACGATTTGAACATTATATAAAATACGCAGATATTTTGACGCGAACATTGGTATATATACCTAGCGTATGTAATTATTTCCGTGCATTTATTATCATTTTTAACTTTCTAGGAATTGTGTTGTCGTATTCGTTATTTTGCCTGTTGTTTTGTTATTGTGTACTGAAAATCTTTTAAAAAGAAGTAGCAAAATAGCCTTTCAACCTAAATTATTATTGTAGCTGTGATATACAGTACCGAGCAAAAGTAGAGAAACAAACCACATTACAAATAAAAATCCAGAAAGATTTACTCTAACCCAAAATTGTGCACTAAAGCTTTTTATGTATGACTACCTCAAGATAATGAAATGCTTATCTTTGTAAACATTCTGTTTTTTTTTCAATATAATATCGGTTTGTTCAACGAGCAAAGGTAGAGAAACATTTTGTAAATATTTAGTTTATATTTAGTCGTTGATTAGAATAGGTGTTATTTTTGAGTGTATTTGGTAAAGTGTAGTTCAAAAACATGGCCAGAGGAATTACATTGAATTTGCGAATAAAAGAATTGATTATTCTAAAATATCAATCAGGCATTAAACAAGCAACCATAGCCAAACAGCTGAATTTAAGTCGATCGGTAATCTGCGGAACTATTAAGCTGTACCGCCTCAGAAAATCGTTGGTAAGCCCTCCTAAGACTGAGCTGATTATTTTTCTTGGACATCATAATGCCGCCAATAGCTATCGAAACTTCGTTGAATTCTACATTCAATGCTATTTGCCCTGTACATTTATCCTCAAAACTTGGCGGATAAATATTTCCAACCCTCGCTTCGCGGTAATGTCGATGCATGTGTGTAGCAGTCGGTCTGCGCTGCTCACTGGATGTGAACGAGGGAACCGATGGTTATTCACGCCTTATGTATACATGGCTTCGATAATATGCGCCATAGGATTTTTTTTCAGCGGAAGGGGGAGGGCCATCCATAGACAAGAGAAAGCTTAACTGCCTCCAAAACTTTTTGAGGAGCAAGGGAGAACATATTTTCTTAGGGAGCCAAATCCTAGAGAGCCCCAAAATTTTACAAAAAACCTGGTAAATGTGCAAATTTAGATTGTATGCGTCTGTTTGACTAACTTAAGCCGTTTTTTTCTGTTATATACATGTTTGTAGATAACTTTTTTCTGAGGGATCAACCTACTTAACCCTGCATAAAGACAACCTATTTCAGGACAGCCTCTTCACATTCTCTATCAGTGTATGGCTATACCAGATAGCAGTGATCATTGTTGCTATGTGACAGAAAATGTGGTCTTGCTGAGGCCAACGTTCAATTGACAGTTACTGCAAACCTAATACATTTTTGAGTAACGTAGTGGTTATCTTTGTTATAACAGTAACCTATAAAAGCATTCTCTATTATTCGCCCCATATAATTATCCGATTCGTTTTTGTTTCCATGTAAAGGAATTCCTGAAAGAGCTTGTTTCCAAAGTTCTGCAAAGTGTCTTTTGGCTCCAAGCCGAAAAATCGTTTTCCAGATACGAGATTGAAAAGTCAAT